CCCCAAAACCCCAAAACCCCAAAACCCCATTAGAAAATTATTTGTGCAGAAATGAAAATAAATTGTAGTGAATTTCAATAATTTAGCTGCAATTAATTCAAGTCAATTACTTAATTATAATATAGTATTATAGTATCAAATCAATGAGTAATTATTAAAAAAGAGTTAAAAAAATGGACAGCCGATTCCAGTAAACATAAAATATGTAGGTGATCACATTTAAGCCATACTATAGATATTATGCCTACGGTTAACCATAAAACCCAGTGCTTAGGAGAAAGAAAAAGAAGAAGAGACATAATATTTTAGATAACCCCACTCCGGTACTACAGCAATACACCCTCAATCTGCAGCAGTAAAATAATCCGAATCAAATAAGGTAGTAGTTATATTTTTGTTATATATCTTGAACTTACTTATAGATTGGGAAAGAATGTATCTTAGACACTTGCATCAACGACATAAAACTTTAATAAGACTCCAAAGATACCTAGTAGCAACAAGGCTAAGTTGAACGATAACTATCATAACAGCAGCCATCCCAATCATAATATGAACATTTAATAACTCCCTGAGATTATCCAGTCAAATATCTAACTTGCAAATCTCTAAAGTCAAAAATAGCAAATGCTTTAGAATAGCGCTGTATACTTTAATAATCAACTAGATGATGATGCTTACAATCAGCAATTTCAAGAGTAAAGAATAGAGTAACTACTTAAAGAACAAAAGATGATCAAGACTCGAGGCTCATTTTTTAATAACTAGTAGTTGTAGTAACAATAATTTCTTAGTGGTGGATCTAATAATCAGTATAATGATTACAAGCCGATTGTAAAAATAAATCGTGAGTTAGCAAATAATAACTCCCAAGTCATCAATATGTCAGATTTTGGTATTGAGTTTTCCTAGGAAAGAAATAAAAACTTGAAAAATTCATTCAATGAAGTCTAGCACAGCATTGACCACAAAACTTCAGATGATGCAGTAAATTAAAGCGTTTAGCTACAGTCTCAAAATAAACTGTAAATCAATCATTAGAACTCACTCAGAAAATAACAAAATGGAGATAAGCTGACTGAGAATAGTCCAAGATAAAATCCACCTATAGATTATAAATTGCCTTAGATCAGGAGTAACGATAGCATTAATAGGCTGGATGATCAGTCAAGATTAACTACACTTTAAAATAAGCAATCTCAAAATTTTGATAGTAACAGCCAAATCGTGGAGGAAAGTAAAAATATCCTTATGATGGCTAACAGAACTAAAAATATGGTAAAGAAATTTGTTGGTCATCAATAAAGAGCAGCATAATCAAAAGATATAAATGAAGTGAAATCAAATCGAAACACGCAAGCTTTTTTCAACAATAATGAGAGGATTTTTACAAGAGATTATATGCCAGGCATTTAACTTTAAAACCAAACTAATCATATTGTCAAGCAAGCTGTAAAAATTGATGACCCAGCACTAATACTTACAGATGAAGAAAAATAAATATATGGAAATAGATTTCCATCTGGCTACAAAAGAATCAAATTGCTAGGCAGAGGAGGATGCGCTTTGGTTTGGCTTGCAAAGGATGAAAAGAATGGGGATAGATAAGTCGCAGTTAAGTAATTTCCAAAAGCTGGGGGATAGTAAGCGAATCTTGAGAGCGGTTACAAAGAACTATAAATGAACAGGAGATTTTTCTAATATAATGGAGTGCCATATGATGCTTATTCTTAAAATCCAGGCATCAGTAGTTTATGCAAACTCTTTGATAGTAAAGATGATAAATAAGACCTTTGGCTAGTCTTTGAGCTATGCGGAAAACCTCTGAGCAAAACAATGTTTGATGTGAAGGGCGAGTTTTATAAGGGCGAGAGAATTTATTAAGTCTTACATAAGGAAGACCTATATCGAGCTTTGTAAATAAATAAGGGGTCTGTATTCAAAGAATTTATCAAGGGAATGGCATAAGTGTTGTATATGTTTTAGAGTGCAGGAATCGTTCATTCAGACTTAAAACCCGAAAACATCTTAATAATCCATGATCTAGATACTGATGAAGTCAGTTTTAAAATTATTGATCTAGGGAGCAGTTTCAACTTTTAAAAAGCAAATAACGATATAGAATTAACTACCCCTGAGTATCTTGCGCCAGATATTCTTGAGTATTTAGACTAGAAAACTGGAATGGTTTTATCCGGAAATGGATAAAATGCTTAAGCAGTAGACTTGACCAAGAAATTGTTCCCATGGTCAATCGATATATGGAGTCTGGGAGCTATTCTATTAGAGATAGTTATCGGCTTTCCTTTATGGCTTAGCTATAAAGGAAGAATAGTGAAAGAGGGAAGACAATAGGATTCTGCTTCATCATCGTTGTGTATGACAGGTTTATTTGGAATTCAAGGCAGAATCCCTAAGAAAATAAAGCTTAAGTAAATCCAAACTGTGTAATAACTAAAATAAATCTTAAAAAAGCAGTTCTCAAGTGATCTGTGCCTTGGATCATTTAATACTAATGAGGACTTCTTAGACTTACTTGCGAAGATGCTAGATTTGAATCCGAAGTTCAGAATCTCTCCTAAAGAAATACTAGAGCATCCATTCCTCTAATTATAAGATTAACAGTGATAAATAATATACATTTAGAAGTAAAGATGCTAAAAAATTTAAGATGTTAATTTACAGGTTTATCAAATTCAATTCGTGCCGCAAATTTATAATTGAGGGGTTTTGGGGTTTTGGGGTTTTGGGGTTTTGGGG